ATCTGAACTTCCACAGAAGACCTAATTAAGCTCTGATTCATCTCACTAATAGATGATATTGGAGTAAAATATTAGCTTTCATGTTTAGTAATTGTTTATCTTTTTTTGGTATTTTTTGTTTTTATTTCCCATGATCATATTGCTCTAAGTGTTTCAAAGGTCTCTTTTGTATTGAGATGTAAGCACATTTACTCTTGTCACATAGGCGAAGTGACATAACATGCACGCTTTCTGTTCAGCTGCTTTTTCTGCACAGTGTAGTGTGTAGTTTTATCTATGTCGCTGTAGGAATCAGAGATTTCTATCCTTTTGTTTCTATAAAAGTTCTGATAAAAATTTGAGGTTTTGCCAGCTTTTCAGCCATTATGAATAAAACTTCAATGAACATTTGTATGCTAGTCCTTTTGTGGTGGTTGTATTCACATCTGTTGGATAAAATCAAGCCATGGAATTACTAGATTGTCTGGTCTCTATACATTTGACTTTATGAGAAAGTACCAATATGAGTATCTTGCACACTTGAGAAAGACTTTCTCTAGAAGGGCATTGCTCAGCCATGGAGATTTTAAAGTTTTCTGAAGGAACATCACCTAGATAGCAGTGTTAGGAGACTCTAGCATCCTGTCCCCCAATAGATCAAGAATAGACAACTCTTCTTGAACAAAAACAGCTCACAAAGAAGAAATGGTAATGATGTGATGTGGCAGAGATATCAGTGTGAGCTGGGATGGTGATCACTTTGCAGAAAATAAGTGGGTCAGATCCACATGTTGTCCACCTTCTTCTTGCTCAATGTTACAGATCAATTATATCTTAATAAAGATGGAAAAACTAAAATTTCAAAACAGTTTTCTGAAGTGGTTGCACCTTTTGTATCCCTACCAGATGTATAGGAGAGTTCTGACTGATCCACGTTCTCTCCACATGGGGTTTGAACAGTCATTTTAGCTTTGGCCAACGCAATGGGGACAAGGTGGTATCCTGGGGAGAGGTATTTTGTATGAACATTCTTTATTAAACTTCTGTTATCTTTATTTTTATTTTTTAAACCACATAAAATATTGATGTTCACTATGTTCCATTCAAAAATAACCTTATTGATGTATGACCTATGCAGAAAGTGCTGTACATGTTTAATGTATACAACTTCATGAGTTTTGAGATGAGCATACATCTGTGACACTATCACTCTAATCTATGTAGTAAACATGTCTGTCACCTCCCAAAGATTCCTCCTGCCCTAAGGAGAGCTATGTTTTAGGAAATAAAAACTGTTAATACTTGACATTTAACTATTTGTGTATTTCAGAGTCATGTGTAGGCCTGCCCTTCTTACTATATACTCCCCCAGTCTGATCCCATCTTTGCCTTCAGCTACAATTACCATAGTTCTCTCAGTAACTATTATCTATTATTGGTATTGTCTGCCTTACCTTTAGAGATTCAGTTCGTATCCCATCTCTGAGTTCTAGACTCTTATATTTAAGTTCTTAGCATAGGTTATAAAGCCTTTCACATTCTGGTAACAGTCCACCTCTTGAACCTCATCATGCTCTACTATTTTGAATTTTTATATATGATAATATTTTTCTAAATTATCTTTCTATGTGTGGTGGTTCACTTACATGTTGTTGATAAGGAAGAAAAAGGAAAAGCAAAGAATGGCATGAATAAATCATTGTTTTATTGATAATGTATTTCATAAAATCAAAAACTTTAGACATGTAAGTGTCCCACATACCACCTAAGTTCAAATAAATGTGAGTGCCTAGGTGAAGAGTATATATGACTTACAGTATATATAATATAGTGTATGTAGTTTTTGAAGTAAGAGCTATGATATTTCAAGGTTAGTAGAAGATAGAGTGTAGAAGTAATCTTTTTTTATTAACTTATTTTAATTGGAGGCGAATTAGTTTGCAATATTGTGGTGGGTTTTGCCATACATTGACATGAATCAGCTCATCTTTTACAATATATTGAACATTTTGTGCAAAGAGGCGTTATCACGGGGAGATAGAGTCAGTTTACATGTGTTTGTAGAAGTAGAGAGATACACAGACGTAGCATTCATATTTCCACCAGTACATGCTCAGTGGTGACTGTGAGATTGGAAAGGAAAATGAATACAAGGGAACCTTTTACATCAGCATTCAAGCTCCTGGAACAGCTCTGTGTATGTCCCCGAGTGTGGCCGCTGGCCAAGGACATCTAAGGGGAAGAGACTCGGCCACAGAAGAGGATGCTGTTGGTCTTGATGTGCTTGATGAGGAACAGGAAAGGGTGATTGCAGCGGAAACTCTCATGAAATGGTGCTGATGTGACAGCAACACTCACACCGGTAGCAGCTGCGGCCTCCGTGCCCTCCTCAGTCACCTCCACAAAGCACTTGTGGACGACCGTCGACACCACCAGATCACGTCTCCTGGACATGCCGGAGAAATCAGCCACCCCACGACGGAAGGCGTCCACCATCCCCAGGGCTTGCAGTGTGGGCACGAGGTCATAGCTCTCTTCCACTTTAAACCGAGGCAGGTATAAATCCACTTGTCTCTTCCCCATATTCTGTGGGCTCGTCCACTCTACCACGTTCTCAGCAGTGAGCTGGTCTTCAAGCTGTAACAGTGGGAAAGGAGGAACCGTCAGGATCCTCAGTGGCCATGGAGCCGCCTACCTCGGACTGAAGTGTATGGAAAAGCTTTATTTTAACAGCAAACATGAATACAGGAGAGTCAGTATATTAGATTTTCTCTAAGGAGGAAAAAATAAGAGAGTCCTGAATATATATCATATGATCAAATAAATGTTTTTATATGTTCATAACTTTGCTATTTTTATGTATGTATGCACACACATATATATGCATATATAGAAATGTCTATACAAATGTATAGATGTGTATGTATACGAACATGCACACATTAATGAAAGAGCATTCGTTTAATGTGAAAGTCATGTCTGACTCTTTTTATTACCCCATGGTCTGTATCCCTCTAGGCTCCTCTGTCCATGGGATTTCCGAGGCAGAAATACTGGAGTGGGTTGTCATTTCCTCCTCCAGTGGATCTTCCTGACCCAGGGATTGAACCCATGTCTCCTGTGGCTCCTGCACTGTAGGCGGATTCTTTACCATTGAGCCACAGGTATTTAAGATATTGATGCTATTTTTTTGTTGTTGTTCTATGCTGCCAGCCAGTATCACCAATCTATGACCAGCCCGCACAAGCATTGTATCACTAGAAATTTAAGCAATAGCATGAAGCACTGTAAGTACCAGGTATTACCTTCTGCAGACCATCTACTTCATTGGGCAGCAGCACCATCATGCTTAGCTCTTCGCCTTTGTACGGGATTTCCAGGATCTTGGCTTGCATGTCCTCCAGTGACACGAAATTGAAACGATTGGTTTGTTTCATCATCTGCACAGATTTACTCGTATCCTGCAATAGATTCGTGTGCAAAAAGAATGCCAAGTGAGCATTAGTCCAAAAAAAAGATAATCTTATTGAGATACCAAACTCAGCCTCCTAAGAGATGATCTGGGAAATCTGTGTCTTAGAGATAAGAGTTTCTTCAAGGAATCCCACGTAAATAAAGTTCAAAAAAGGACAAGAAAATAAGCCTTGACAAATTCTCTTATATATGCAGTTATATATTAATTACTATGTATTTAAATTTCACAGTGCATGTGTAGCTACACTTTGTTATATACATAAATTACAGACAATACCTTGTTCAGCCAAAATTGTTCCTCCACAGTATTTTCTTTGTTAAATTCCTGGTTCCACTGCCCTTTGAAATAGACGGCGTTCACCAGAACCAGAACAGTACAGCTGTCGAGAGAGTCTTTGGGAAACAGATCTTTGATTTTTTCTGCAAAGACAGAAAATCAAAGTCTGTCATGAAGGGCACGAGTGGTTTGTCTGTCAGACGCTTTGAAAGTTACAAGCGATGATGAAATATTCACACAAGTCAGCCCGCGAGGGACTCCATGCCCAGCGGTCCACCAGGTGAGGCTTTGCTCAGGGCCCCGGCCTGATGGAGACGGCCCTGCTCCTGACTGGGAAGGTGTTCAGTCTGTGTGTGTGGGGACACCAGTCACCTCACAAGGAACCCTCACGAACTGACTTCTGATACTTGAGATGCCATGCTGTGCTGAGTCTCTTCAGTCCTGTCCCACTCTGGGAGCCCACGGAGTGCGACCTGCCAGGCTCCTCTGTCCAGGGGAGTCTCTAGGCAGGAGCACTGGAGTGGGTTGCCGTGCCCTCCTCCAGGGGCTCTTCCTGACCCAGGGACTCTGGGTCATCAATTCTGACAATACCTTGTCATCAGAACTGCTTTCAGCCGATCTTTACTGGTCAGTTTCCTTCCTTCCCTTTCCTCCCTTCCTGTTCCCTCAATAGCTTTGTCTCTTGTTTCCATTCCCTGTCTTCTTCTTCATTCTGCACATGGAGTTGCTGTAGGTTAAGCCTATACTTCGGAAGGGAGGTAGGATGTGGTTCATGGGATGGAGACGTTGTCCAGCTCCCTCCCCGAGTGGGGAGGACACCTGTGACATCCTGTGGGAGGGGGACGTGGGCCAGGAGCCTCCTCCTGCAGGTGGTCATTTCTGCAAGAAGGATGGTTTAAAGGAGAGCGGCTTGTTTCCCAGTTAAGAAAGCAAAGGTGGACTCTGCATATTTTCTCTTAGGGATTATAATCCAGAAGTTAAGCCTTCAATTTAAAGAAAAACTTACGAATCAACCTGAAGTCTGAGCAGAGACTTGGAATCCACAAAGACACTGTCAACCAGACTCAGCAGTGCCTGCGGGGGGCTGTCCTGGGAGCCCTCCGCCCGTTCCTCTCCTCACTGACGTGGACCGTCTACCCCCTGCAGGCCTCCCCACCCTCTGCAATCTCATCTCACCCCGCTCCCGGCAGCCCCGTCAGGGTCCAGCACTGTGTTCACACACAGTGGGGACTCAGCAGTGATTTTAACGGGTGACTCTCTCATAACCTACCATTGGTTTGGCTCTCCACCCAGGAATTAATCATCTTTCGACTTTCCTCTGCAGCATTTTTAAAATCAGCAGATTCCACACTGGCTAGATAAAATTTCTTAACATTATCCATGTATTCCTATGACATGAGCAGGAAGAAAGGAGGAATGAAAAGTAATTTACCAGTAACTATGTTCTGTTCAGTTCGTTCAGTTCATTCGCTCAGTCGTGTCCGACTCTTTGTGACCCCATGCAACACAGCATGCCATGCCTCCCTGTCCATCACCAACTCCTGGAGTTTACTCAAACTCATGTCCATCGAGTCGGTGATGCCATCCAGCCATCTCATCCTTTGTCGTCCCCTTCTCCTCTTGCCCCCAATCCCTCCCAGCATCAGAGTCTTTTCCAATGAGTCAACTCTTCTTATGAGGTGGCCAAAGTATTGGAGTTTCAGCTTCAGCATCAGTACTTCCAATGAACACCCAAGGACTGATCTCCTTTAGAATGGACTGGTTGTAGGTATTCCCAAATTAAATTAAATGTGTTCAATCCTGATTAAGCAGAGTTCATAAGCCAATGCCTAGCCCCACCCTCACTGGTGTGCTGTCAGCCTCTGGACACTCAGCGGGTGGGGTTGTGGTCGGGGAGCCCGGCGCCCCTGAGAGTAATGCCCCTGTGTGGGTCCCCAGGCTCCTCTGCACCTGTTCCCCTCCCCATTAGGAGATGAGGCCCGAGGAGCTGAGATGCAGACTAAAGGTGTGACAGACCAGGAAACTCACCTGGAGAAATGGAAACTCCTTTTCTCCATAGAGCCTGTTGGCGACACTCAGCTCATAGGCATCAGTGGATTTCTTTAATTCTGTCAGAAGCTTTTGAAAGTGATGATGAGCTTTTCCTGGCTTTTCAACCTTCAAACACCAAAAAATGAGCTCACTGGATTCTCTGTCAATGTAAACTCTACACCCCCAGAGGTCTGTTAGATCCCTGTTAGAGGGTGGTATCCCCAGGGATGATGGTTGTTGTTATTTCCCCTAATTGGTGTGTGTTACTGGCGATAGCCTTCCTAATCTTTATAGTCAGTCTTCTAGGTGATTCTCTCTTCCTGCTCAAACACATTCCACTCTTCTCTCTTTTGAACTACCCATGCAGCACCATTCCTCCACTGCATTGTGTCTTAGTTGTCTGCAATGGTTAGGGTAAACTTATCAGCTAAACTTAAGCTTCTTGAGGGCCAGACCCACGTGCATTTCTAACAGTCATCAACTGTGTGAGAAAGTAAATCTGTATGCTGTCCGAGGTTATGACATGAAGACCTGTTATACTACTGGTGGAATTGTCTTCTAAGACCCGTTGACTCTGACCTACATATCCTCACACTGATGGTCACACTTCTCAGTGTAGGAGCAGTGTGTGCCTGGGACACTGCTAGCAGCTGTACGCCAGCATCTCTAAGTCTTTAGTTGAATTCACATGATAACAAGAGAGTGTAGAGAGCTAAGTAACTTCTCCAAGGAGCCAGAGCCAGGTTTTCAACTCAGGCTTGTCTCAATCCAGAACCTTAAACTTGCTACCTAAGAGTTTTGTACTAGTCCATAAAAATAGCTCTCAGTTAATCACTTTCCATAATATATTTTGATGCCTACCTATTGGTCTTAATAATATGAACTAACATCGCGATTTAATATTATCCAATAATAAAATTAATATTATGAGTTAATTAATACTATCCAATGTTAGAAACATGTTATATAAATACTGTAATCATTATTTTTCTATAATAATAATAATAATAATAAAATACATAATGTATATCAGAGTTTTCATTTTCCTGGCACTGCTATTCTGTTTCACATGGATTTGCATGTATTGCAGCAGACATTTTATGGTCCCCAGTTAATTGGGATGAAGTCACTGTGGCTCAGAGCAGTTGTATTTTCCACATTTTTCCTTCCTGAACAGCAGAGCACAATTTGAAGCTCCTTTGGGTTTCAGAGCCCTTACTATGAAGCACATGCTACTCTCCTCTCAGGATAATAAAGATGTGAAGTACATATGTAACATGAAATGAGCAACTCTGTCCACTGTATTTCACTTAAGATGTCTCCTAAAGATGGACTTTTCCCACTTTGTCTGAAATTCCCAGTTTAAACTATGACCCTGTTGGACACATGACCTTCTAAATCCAGTGCTCTGTGACTCACGCGATCATTTGTGGCTCCTCTTGTGTTCTCTGTGATTTTACTGAAGTGAAGGACCTGGAGGAGACAGATAGTGGGGCAAAGAAGCGTTACCCTATATATATCTGTGTGCATCACAGTCAATAAAAAAAGAAAGAAAAAAATCAGGAAGAAGAAAGAAAATTCAAACCAAGTACCAAACCAAACAAAAAAACCCAAACCATAGGGAACAAAGAAAAGAAGAAAGAAATATTTAGTGCAAACACTTGCTTCTTAAAAAACACAAGCTGTGAGTGGAAAACATGAAGCTGCTTGATCCCTATCCACCTTAGAGTATCACGTCTCGGTTTTCATTCATCACTGAGGAAACATGTGAAGATGTTTCCATGGGAGCATGGATGTTAGTCAGTGTCTCATTTCCAGTGAATTCTCCCATTAAAGCCTCACCTCTGGCTGCTGGGCGATTGTAGGGGGTCATCCCAGCCCCCAGAGGAAGTCCAGGCACAGGAAGGCGGTGGGGAGCCCTGCGGGAGAGTGTGTGCCCCTCTCTGTGCCCACCCAGTCGTGGGGCTGCTTGAGCTTCCCGTGGGACCCCCGGGGACAGCCAGACCTGTGGTCATCTGCACTCCAGCCAGCAGACAAACCATGCAAACCTGTGACGGAGAGGCAGCTGCCACCTACCTTCTGCATTTCTGATGCAGTGTTTTCTCGGGCCCCTAAGTAAGTCATGGCTAAGGCTGACGAGATACTGAAAGGGGACAGGAAGATGTTTTCCTTCTCTGATTTTCTGATCTGGTGGAACAGATCGATTGCAAGGTGGATGATTGCTTCACCGAGGGAACTCATGGTGGCCGGATGTGGTCTGGAAGTCCTGGAAGAGCATCGGATGCATTTTATAATCACTCTAGTGAAGGAAGGCTAGTCTGTAATGAGAACTTCTAAAAGAAATGCCTTATGTGTGGGTTGTGGATTTCCGGCAACTAAGATTTTTCCTTTGTATACCTATAGTAATTAGAAGACTTTTGAAATTAGGAATACTGGAGTGGGTTGCTATGCCTTCCCTCAGGGGATCTTCCCCACCCAGGGACTGAACCCACATCTCTTACAGCTCCTAGAGTGGTAGACTTTCTCTCTGCCTACCACGTGTGCCACCTGGGAAGCCTTATTTATAGAAAATTTTTCTTCAATAGTCGTCTAATTATCAGATGGATACAGGTACACCTCCTTATTATGAAATGTATAACATAAAGTTTCTATTATATTTAAGAAAAATTTTCTAAAAAATAATAGAGTATCTTTACTGTTCCTTCCTTAATGACTGTACAAGAGTGGGCAAAAAATGCGTTATAACAGATGTGTTGTTGTTGTTGTTCAGTTGCTAAGTAGTGTCCAACTCTTTCCACTCCACGGACAAGCTCCTCTTTCCTCCACTCCCTCCCAGAGTTTGTTCAAATTCATATTCATTGAGTCCGTGATGCTGTAGAACCATCCCATCCTCTGCTGCCCCCTTTTCTTTTTCCTTTCAATTTTTCCCAGCCTCCACGTCTTTCCCACTGAGTTTATAACAGATTCGAAGGCAAAACTGATGTGGTAACATCCAGCCATTTCCCATCAGGTATCTCCCTGCCTTACTTGAAGGATCTGTGGATGCTGGACAGCCTACCCCTGATACACGTGCTCCGACAGGAGTGTGGGTTTTCTTTTAGAAAGAAGTAAATTACCTATGGATTAAATCAGGAGAAAAAGTTCTTTTACTCTGGCAGAATAAGTTACATACCATCATGCCAAATGAGATATTTAATACATGCATGATAAAACATCACATTCATTATAATTTTCAGAAAGGATTCCTGTAGGTACACAGAGCTGCTAGAAGCACTTACCTGTGTTCCTGGAGGAAGCAGAGGTGGTGTGCCGAGCGTGATCAGCCCTGAATATATAGCTCTACCAGCCGCTTCCCATGCCTCAAAGCAGCTGGTATTTCAAGTAGATCAACTCTTGATTTCTTCACCAGGTATCTTCAACTTCATGAGCAAGAAGTCTCTATGAAGAAAGACAAGGTTATTGAGCAACTCCTGTACGTCGTTTCCTTCTGCAGAAGAAATTGTGACCTACCATCCCTGGCTAATAAGAAATGCATGTATGTGCCTTTCTGACAGCAATGACAGTACACTTACGTTTCAACTTCTTCACATGCCCTTAGGAACTAGGCCCAGCCAGAAATGACCCTTAAAAATCTTTCTTCTCTTGGTAATTCATGTTGACTCCTATTTAAGACCACTTCTAACACAAACAATTGAAAACCTGACATTGTTTGAAGTTCTGAAAAGGCTTGTTTCTTTAAAAAATATTCTGTATACCCGGGAAAATAGCTCAACGTCTCAGTTTAAGAGGGATTGGCAAAGTGTGTCAGCTGTAGGTGGAGACCAGGTATGATTTGCCTCCCCTCGAGGTTGGACCCTGGCGCGGTTCTCCCCGTGACCCCATTGTCCTTGCAGTTAATCCCAGCTGTACCCTGATTTCTGTGGTCAGAGGGCAGCTCATTTTCCTGCACATTCACTTGCTCTCAGTGAGAACAAGGGATACAAATGGGACCCATTTTAAGGGTAGTTTTCTAATGTTTTAGTATGAAGATTTCTCAGAAAAGTAAATAGCTTGAGCTCCAGAATTATAACATTCTCAATCATCCTGATCTGCAGCACACCCACTTCTGATCATGACCAGAACAACAGAGTCAAATGTCTGTAAAGAAAAAAAAAGAAAAAAATGTGTTCTTTGAATGGCATGGTTGAGTCTCATCACTGCAGTCTCATCTCTTCAAGCATCTGGTGTTCCTGTAATAGAATAATATTAAAAACTACTGACTATTTACTGAGGGGGTTTTGTACTCACCCATTTTCTGCTTTAACACCATATTTATGTTGGTGAGTTTGTTTCCCCCATTTCACAGATAACAGAAATG